TCTTATATTTATGCCCCCCTTGTTTTACAATTTATCTAAAGCTCAAAGAATTTCGCTGATTCCAAATTCTCCTTCATAGTGATGCTTTTGTATGCCTGAATCAAATCTCCTCTTGTTTTTCTTCAGTTTCTAGTGTTGTCAATCCACAAACTTTTAATCTGTCTTCATATGACATACCGCGACACTCCTTCATCATTCTCGTTGCCCTCCTTTCAATGTTCTCGAGCGTATGTCTGTCCTTTTGTTTATCTGGATTGCAAAACTGAACACAGTACTCCAACTTAGGTCGAACCAATACTTTATACAGGTTTAATATGACGGTCATATCTTTGCTTTTTACTCTTCTTTTTATCATACCCAAAGTTTTGTTTGCACTTTTAGCCGCCTCGATGCATTGCCGTGCTACCTTACCATCCCGATGAATTATCACCCCTAGATCCTTATTTTCCTCTTCACTTTTAGTGGTGTGTCTCCAAGTTTGAATAAGCTTGCCTTGTTGTTTGCTCCTACATGTGTGACTGCACATTTGTTAGTGTTGAATACCATCTGCCAATCCTCTGCCCATTTGCATATCTTTTGCAAATCGAATGCTAGAGTTTCAATATCTTCATCGTTGTCTACAACAGAACATAATTTAGTGTCAGCTGCAAATTATGAAATTAAAAATATATATTTGAAATAGCAACGGTCCTAATACGGATCTTTGAGGTACCCCAATGATCTAGATGATGACGTTGATGATGACGTCATTAAAAAAATCATTAGTAATATAAATAATAACAACAATAACAACACTGAAATAGCAACATCTTCAACTAGAGTTTCAACAAAGTTAACGACAACAACAACATATCAACAATAAAACAACACATTAACAATAATAAAATCATTAAAAACTACAAGGTGAATAACAATCACAGCAATCACATCAACAACAACATTGCGATAAAAATCTATTTCCTTCTACATCTTGCATTGTACGGTTGGGAAAATTCCTAAATAGGATTAACAACAACAACAGCAGCAGCAGCAACTACAACAACAAAAAACAACAATAAAATTACGACCAATATTAAACTCAAAATATGCAATACAAAGTTTTTCATTACAATTTCAGTGGCAGTAACACAACAACGACAACAACAACGCAACAACACACACAACAACACCAATCTTTACAATAATTTTAATTACTACAATAAAATGCAATTTATGCTTTTCACCAAATCGAATCAAACTGCCCAACTACCTATTCAGCCGTCCCGAAAACCAACCGTACCCGCACCCTCTCACAACTGCTAACTTTTGGGGCGACGGACACGCTGTCTCTAGTTCGATTCTTAAACATCTAAAAGTCACCAATTTAGATAAGTTACAACAACAACAACATCAACCAAATTTACAAAATAATCACCATTCTTTATCAAACAACAATCACGGAGACAACGGCCATCTTGAGTCAAACAGCAGCAACAACAACATCAATGGCACCAGCGAAACTGCAATAATATAACAATTACATTATAAATGATCACAAGAGAGTCCGTGCCAGTAGTAAAACCATAATGACAACGAGAAATTGGACGGAAGCATTAGTACCACGATAACAACAATAACAACAACAACTCCATTAGAAATAACTTTCATCAACAAAAACACATTAATGACAATAAAAAGTACACAAACACACAAACAATGGATTATCAAAAATAATTAACAAACACATCAGCAAAATCATCAAAAGACAACAACAACAATAACATCAACAAAAACATCATCAGCAACAACAACAAAGACACCAACAACAACAAAAACAACAAAGACATCAACAATAAAAGCAACAACAAAAGCAACAACAAAGACATCAACAACGACTTTCAATATTGATCCCACATAGAGGCATCTCGCCAAATTAAACAGCTATTAAGAATCTGAAAGAGACAGCGTCGACTATTACTACTACTACAACTACTACTACTACCACTACTACTACTACTGCTGCTGCTGCTGCTACTACTACTACGACTGCTATGTCTTCTACTATTGCTATTTCTGCTACAGCTTCTGCATGTACTATGTTAGTAGTAGAAGTAGTAGAATTAATAATGGCAGCAATAGTAGTAGCGATAGTAGCCGTAGTAGTATAAGTAGTAGAAGTAGCGGCAACAGCGACAGTAGCAGCAGCAGTAATAGTAACGATAGCATTGGTAATTGAATTTTTTCTTCAATAAAAATTATCTCGTCAAGCATCGTTATCATAAATATCATCTGACAAATCTTACATAAATTCTCCTGCTATTTCTACCGTTTCTGGCAAAGGCGGTTTTGTATCATACAGGACACACACACACACAAACACAAACAAACGCACACATACAAACATACACACACACATACACAGATATATACATATATTATATATATATATATATATATATATATATAAATTATATATATATATTTATAAATTTTATATATATATATAAATTATATATATATATATATATATATATATATAGAGAGAGAGAGAGAAAGAGAGAAAAAAAAAAGAGGGAAATGTACATTTGAGTACTTTCCAAAAAATTCTTTGTCAAATTCCGTTTGTGAAAATTATTCTCGAATTTGAACAGTTTTTGCATGCAATAAATTGGAGAGCAGTGTTGTCATCGAGATTAATTTTAAGTTATTCGATAGAGAGGTTTCTAAGCCGAATAGACCCGGATTTCTCGGGGTAATACCGGTCAAATACGAACATTATGCGTATATGTGTATTGTATGTGTACTAAGTGTATATTATATGTGTATTTTGTGTAAATTATATGTTTATTGTATGTGTGTTGCATGTTTACCGTATTTTATTCTGTGTATCAAATATGTAATGCATATACGTGCAGTGCATGGTGTGCAAGTACTGTATACCGGTTGTATATGTGTGTTTTGTGTATATTGTATGTTTAGCTTATGTGTATTTGATGTGTGCTTCATACTATAAGTGTATTATATGTGTATTTTAATGATACCATATTGTATTTCATTATGTGTAACTGGTTCATGTAGATGTACGTGCCGTGCAATTAATTGTTTGAAGGGTTTTATCTTTATTATGTCTAGTTTGTATTTGTAGACGTTTGCTTCGTTCGTCAACATTTTTCAAATTTTCAATTATTTTTATATAGTTTTGTCTTTATGATGAGTATGTATTTCACGGTATGTTTGCCATGGTATGGTATGTCTGTATTCATGTTATACTTTCTGTTTTTGTATGTATGTTTGCATGTTGTGTTTTTATGTTTGTATGTATGCCTGTCTGCAAAAACTTCACGTTAATCATTTAATTTTTATGAATCAATCGTTCGACTGCCTGATTACAATTCAAAATTTTTATTTCGTCAAAAATTTCAAACAACAAGCACGTAAAAATTTCTCGCTTGATTTAGATGGCACTATTCATAAGCAAGTAGCAATGATAATGTGGAGGAACGTTCTAATATTAATCAAACAAACTTAAAATTATTTTTAAAAACACAAATTTATTCAGACAAACTTGATAATATTTAGTAAAACTTTAAATTATTCGAAGAAACTTAAAATTATTTGTTAATAAAAGTGATAAATAAGAAGCAAAATATTGCAATCAATCAATCAGTGAAAAAATCCAAGTTAGAAGCTGGCAATTATACAATTGACATCAATTATGTTAGTTTGATCAAATTAACACTAACAGAGGGTTAATAAATAATATTAAGAAGAAAAAAATTATTATTATTATTATTATCTATCATAATAAAAGCAATAATAACATAAAATATATTAAATAATAAATGCTCTTGATGGTGATAAATGGGCCAATTAATGATTGATTATTATAAATTAAGGTCAAACTGATCAAACATCGTACCAAACATGAACGAACGAACGAACGAACGAACGAATGAATGAATGAATAAATTATCGAGCAACTTAACGAATGGGAGAGCGCATGCAACTGTTGTGTAATAAATTTTTGTTATTCAAAAATAATTTATCGTAAACTTATACATATATATATATATATATATATATATATATATATATATATATATATATTTACAATATTTTATAAATTCTACCGAATATTTGGTGTTAATATGTTTGTAGTTCGTTAGCAGTAGTAGCAGTAGCAGAAGTAGTAGTAGCAGTAGTAATAGTAGTAGTATTTTTGCTATTGCAATTGTTGTCAAAAGAAAATTGAACCACTCCTAACAAAACAATGCTATTAAAATTAACAATGGTCTTTGCAAAGTCAAACGTCTGATCTGATAGACCAATGAACTTACATAAAATTCAAAAATTAACTGAAAGAAAGAATGAATGGATGAATGAATGAATGAATGAACGAAAAGACGAACGAATGAATGAATGAACGAAAAGACGAACGAATGAATGAAGGAACGAACGAACGAACGAACTAATGAATGATTTAATGAATGAATGAATGATAGAACGAACAAACAAATGAATGAATGAACAAGCAAGCAAACAAATAAATAAACAAACAAACAAACAAAAGAATGAATAAGTGAACAAATAATATTATAATATAATAATAATAAAACCTGCAGCTAAATATTCCATTAAAAATCTATTTCATTTTTTTGCAATGTTTGCTTACTAGGTCGAAAGATTATACTTGAAATGTTAATGATACGAACTAAACAATAATAATTATAATAATAATAACATTCTCAATAAATAATAAATTGTATGAATAATAAATAATATAAATAAGAATAACAAGACATTTTTGACGACTACTTACTACAATAAAAGCAACGACATTAACCGCTATGACCTCATTAATCATAATAACAACAACAATAACAACAACAATAATAATAATTATAATATTAATAGTAACAATAACAACACCAATAATAATAAGAAGAAAAACAGTAATAACTATAACTACAAATGTGATAGAAGTGAAAATTTCAAGTGACAACAATTTTTATGAAATAAGAGAAACAAAGAATAATTATCACAAAAATATTTTCCCATCGCGTAAGAATTGGATATTCATAATTTTTTAAATACTCAAAATAATAATAATTATTCATAATTATTCCTTAATTATTTAAAATAGTTTCATATCTTTGAGAAGGTTGGCCCCATTTCTTCCCCATCTACAGCAGGCCTATGATGTGATTCGTCGACCGGGATTATCCAATAGTCTTCGTCGTCAAATATCTGCTCTCCTATTGGATGATCGAAGATCGGGATTTTTAGAACGGCTCCTGTGATTGGTTGGTAGAAAGTTAGACAGAATACGCAAAAGATTTTTAAATTAATGATCAGTAATTTTTAATTTTATGGCCGATTGTTAATTATTAAACAATCAATCAATTACCCAACTCATTAAAAAATAATCTATTCAAACCATACAATCATTCATTTAATCCACTAACCAGTCATTAGCCCTCCAAACATGGCAATCCCCAGTGTGACCCCAAGGCATGCGGCCTGCATACCGGCCCTGTAGTTCAAGCTCGTGTCCATTGCCTCGTCACCAAAGATCTTTGTTAGTCTTTGTTTTATTAATTATATTGTTAATTAATTAATTATTGAAGTTAATTAATCAGTTAATGCGATGATTAATTGAAAAACTGGTTTGTCGAGTTTGCTTGCGTTTATTATTTCTTTTTTTTTCTTAATTTTTGAAATGAAGTTGTGTTTACTAATTCAATTTTTTGTTCAAAATAACAATTAACACACAATTTAATCAACAAAACAACCCAACTAATCAATCAAAAAATCAACCAATCAACCAGCCAGCCATCCAACCAACCAGCCAGTCAACCAGCTAGCCAACCAGCCAACCAGTGAAAACCTACCCATTCTCGTAGAGATAAGGGTAACTAATTCCAGCAGCGAGAATTGAACCCAGGCCCGAGATGACGCCTGGCATGCCGTGCAAGTTGTGGACGCCACACGTGTCGTGCAACTTCAGGCGCGTTGATAGATACGGCTGACAATGATAAGATAAAAAAAATAATAAATATAATAACAAAAATAATAAACATAATAACAAAAAGAAAAAGAAGAAAAAGGAAAAATAATAATAATGTTGTTTATATACTCATTGAATATAATAACAGACAGAAGCGCAACACGGCAGTTAAATTGGATTATCTAATGAATAATAATAGGTTTAAAAAAAAATTAAAGTTTTGTCATCATCACCATCACCACCATCTTCACCATTATCAAAACACTTCCAACTTAACCAACCGTCAAAAACTTGTACCCCAGAACGGAAACAACTCCGGCTACCATCCCGGTCAAGATGGCCGCCCACGGCTGGATGATCATGTCGGCCACGGAACCTATCGCCACACCACCTGCCAACGTCGAGTTCTGCACGTGCACCTGGAGGATGGAAAGAAAGAGGAAGAGGATGAGGGGGAGGAGGAGGAAGAGGAAGAAGAGGAAGACGAGAAAGAGGAGGTGAAAGGAAATGTACAACAGACGCCTAACTAACAAACCATTTTCCTTTCCCACGCACACATCTCTAAAAACCACCACTCGTAACAAACAAACCATATTGAATCGATTCTTCTTATCAACGAGGGAGGAAATAGCAAAGGTAGTGATGACGCTGGCTGTCAGCGAGTAGTAGGTGTTGACGATGGCCCTCACACGCCCCTCGTCCACGGCAGTCCCTGAGTTGAAACTCGGCCAACATATCCACAAAAAGATGGTTCCTGGAGCATTTAAATTGTAATGTGGTTGTGCTTGAAAATGAGATAAAAGTAATTAAGAATAAAAAAATTAGAAAGAAATGAGGTGCTGAAATAATAACAAATGCAGAAACTTTTAACAATTTTTTTTGAGTAAGATAGAAATAAGAATATCAAAGTCCCAACTAGTCACATCCATTCTACCATAAACCTAGCTAACCAATCATAGCGAAGATATCCGATTGATAGACGGAACCCTCCTTTTCTTCGGCATCATGTACTTCCTTCTTGTAAAGGACCCAGGCCACCATCAGACCAAAGTAGGCACCGAATGTGTGCACTGTCATGGAGTCTCCGATGTCTGTCGCCTGCGTTTGTGTGTGTTTGTGTGTGTGTGTAATTGTGTGTGTTTGTATGTGTGTGTTATGTGTTCATACTTAATACAATCACCTTGATTTCTAATTTAAAGAGTGCTAAATAAAAACTTTAAAAGCATTAAAAACTACAAAAAGACAGACCCCGATATATCCGATGACGATTTTAATGTTCCCCTCGTAAAATACAATCTCCATAGCTGCCATTATAAGCAGTTGTATCGGACTGACCTACGTAACATGTGTGATGTGTGTGTGTTTACACGTATGTGTATTTGTGTGTGTGCGAGTGTGTCTGTGTGTGCACGTGTGTGTTTGTGTTTTTTTTCTGAGTTTGTTCAACTTTGTTTATTTGTAAGAACGATGAATTATGCAGTATATCTGAATGACTGGAAATAGACGTGTTTCTATTTAAAACACACATAGTAATATGTACTTTTTAATACGTGTATGACAATAACATGCACATGTACGTGTAGTTTTGTATGTATCAGGTGGTTTTATTATATGTAATGTGTATTTTTTGTGTGTGTCATGTGTGTATTTCAGTTTACGTATATATGTAACATGTGTACTGATGTATGCAATGTACGCAATTACGTATGCAATACGTACACTTGTGTATCGCAGTACATACATACGTATAAAAATGTATGTAATGTTATGTATGTGGCAATGGCAAGTGTTCTTACCTTTCCGAGCACAGCGCCGAACGAGATGAGGACTGCAGCTGCCGCAAAGTCAGATTCTATCAGTCTGTTTATGTGTGCGTGTGCGTGCGTATTGTGTGTGTGCGTATTGTGTGTGTGAGTCAGTTAATTTTTATATCATGATCATCCAACCATCGTCACTTACGTTTCTACATTAACCCAGATATATTTATGAACGTCTGTGTCGTTGGTACCGGCACTCGGCGTACCGTAATATTCAAAAGTATCGATCCATCCGTGAATGATGGTCTGCCATTGAAGGACAAACGCCGCTATGAAGAAGTTCATTCCGACACTGCTGAAGCCGTATCGCTTCAGGAATGTCATCAGAAAACCGAAACCGATGAACATCATGATATGGATGTCCTGGAACACTGGGGTATGGTTAGGGTTAGTGGTTAAATAATCAATGGTCAGTTCTCATTTGGCCGATTTTTAAATTTAAAAATCACTAAAAGATATAAATAAATGTCTTACTACTCACAAGAGTAATAATGTTCTACGTGTTCTTCCGCCGTCTCCTTTGCATGCACTTCCGTATAGTTTTTATTCAACGGTTTCGGCATACCAACTTCCCAATCGTACCTCACGAACACCCCAAAAAACACCAAGATGATGATCTCGCATATTATTACGGCGAGGGTGAACTTGTTTGGAAATTTGCAGTAGTTTCTCACCATTTTTGGGTGGTGATGGTTATGTAGAAATTTGTGCAAATTTTGAGATTAATTAAAGAAAAAGTAGGTTTGACTATGAATAAGAGATGAGTAAAATTCCTAGTGGCGATGTTGTATAGTGATGGTTGTGTCTGTTGATCGTCAGTCAGATGACTGATGTTCTATTAAGCTGTTCACCAAATTATCTACTTTCTGAATCTGAAAATATTTTTAATTTTGGAAATAGTAAATTTCAAGTTTATCCAACAGTTCATCAGTTTATAATTGCCACCAAATTATTAATTATAATTTAATTAAACACCTCATCATGAGTTTTATGACCGCAAATTTAATGACAATAATAATCTCAACAAAGCTCACATTATCGCAAAAAACGTTCATGTAATTTGAGTTAAACATAAACTACTCGTGACGAATCACCAACAATTAATCCATCATATGTTTAACAATAACAACAACTTACCGATAACGCTCAGCAATTAATCAGTTGTTAATATTTATTAATATTATTATTTCAGTATTCATAATAATAAATATTATTATTCATATTATTTTTATTATGTTTTTTGTTTCCTTATTATTTACGAGCGAGCGGCTGCAATCTTGTTATTATTAATACTAACAAATTGTCGACAATAAATCAGTAGTTAGATGAAAGATTCGTAATATATGTGTGTGTGTATGTTTGTGTGTGTGTGTGTGTGTGTGTGTGTCTATATGTATGTATGTATGGAAATGTACACACACACACACACACACACACACAAACAGACATACAAAGGAATATACGTACATAACTAAAAACAACTTAATTTTTTCAACATAGCTACAACCTTACCTGATCATAAACACGCAAACGTGCAAACAAACAAACATACAAACATACATACATGCATACATACATACATACATACATACATACATACATACATACATACATACATACATACATACATACATGCATACATACAAACATACACATATACATACATACAAAAATACATGTACACACAAACAAATATACGTGCCTAAATGCAAATAACACGTAACTTTGAATTAGTAAACGCTCAATTTATCATTAGTACACACACAAAAATATAATTAACTAAATAACTAATTAATCACCTAATTAATTATGCAGTAATTAATTAATATTCATGAGATGAATATCTGAATTATGATTGGCTGAACGTGTTTGGTATGTTTCGGCTGGTTTCACATCCAAGATTCGATGAACTTTGAGGCTATTATTTATTACTGACGTTTTATTGTTAACTACTGGCAGCAGTAGTTTAACTAATACAACTAATAGTAATAATAATAACATTAATAAAATTAGTAGTAGTAGTAGCAGAAGTAGTAGCAGTTGTATTGTAGTGGTAGGAGTAGTAGTAGCAATAGCCGTAGTAATAGTAGAAGTAGCAGCAGCAGTAGTAGTAGTAGCACTAGTATTGGTAGTAGTAATAGTAGTAGCAACAGCAGTAGTAGTAATAGTAGTAGCAGTTGAGGTAGCTGTGGTGGTTGTAGTTGATGTCGTCACGTTAACAAAAAAAATGTTTCATTTTAGTGCCTTTGTATTAAAATGTTGTAAAAATAGTTTCTCACTAAGAGATACTAAAAAGTACTTGTGAGTATAAACAGTAAAAGTTGTATTAGTAGTATCATAGATAGTGCTGGCTGTAGCCTCAGTAGTTTTGTATATCTATTTTAATTTAGGTATTTATATACTAATTAATAATTATTTTTTATTTTTATTTTTTAATTATTATTAAGTATTTTATTTGTATTTATTGTTTATGTATATTTATAATTTTAATTTATAAGACGCCAGTGTATTTATCTAAATGTTGCATTTTTAAGGTGCTCTGATTATGTATGGGTTATGTAAGAAAGCGCTTATCTCTCTATTTTATGCTCCTAAATACGTTCGTATGTATTTGTGTTTTTATGTATGTATGTGAGTGTATGTACGTGTGTGTGTGGATGTATGTCTTTGAGTATATACTGTATATGTACGTGTCTGCCTGTCTGTCTATCTGTCTGTATGTCTATATGTTTGTGTATGTGTTTGTATAATCTTATGGGATTGATTACATTTGGAATTGTTTGTATACAATTTGTATGTTTGTTTGTTCTCGTGTTTGTAAAATTGATTATTTGAGTGCCGCAAATGTGTATGTTTCTATGAAAAGGTAGTTTCTGTTCGCTTTTTTTCCAGTGTCTAATTTTACAGATTATGTGTTTTTTTTACCAGTGTACTGCCAACAGATCACATATAAATGTGTGTATAAATACTTTTGTGTATGTGTCTATGTGTTCGCTTTTGTGTGTGTGTGTGTGTTTATATATATGTGCGTGTTTGAGTTTGTTTTAATGAACCTTTGCATGTTTTTACTATGTGTCTGTAATGTACCTATGTGGGCCTATGTAAATTTGCCTGTGTATGTGTGTATATGCTATGTATAATTATTATAATTGACATAATTGTAATAATAATATTATAATAATAATTATTATAATTATTATATCATAATTATATCATAATTATAATATAATAATAATTAGTATTTTTTCATAATAATAATAATTGTTATGACATTTGTGTAATGTTTCTTACTAAAATTTTTTCAAAAGCGTTTTCAAACATTAGTTTCAAGTTGAAGAACATTGTGTAGACAGTCTAGGTCTATGTCAATTTGTCTGTCAGACTCATTTTTTTTTTGTGTGCATGTATCCATGTCTGTTTGTCTGACTGATCGTTTATTTTTCTGTTTAAAACATTTGCAGTGTTTGAGAGTGATTAAGATGAACCTTACAATCATTGCACTGATAAAGAAGTTGAAGATAAAAATAATATTAATGATTGTGGTCATGCAAATGTCTAATGAAAATCGCAACAACAAACAAAGAGTACATTAAACATTTTCAAGTTCATTTTTAGTGTCTCTTTTTCATAGAAGTGTCAACATTGAAACACATAGCACAAGTAGATACGTGTGAATTGCTGCATAGGCACTCATTGCAAGTGATAGTCAGGGATTCGAACCCAGACAATGCTACTACAGTAGTGCCAGGCACATTAACCATTACACAATCACGCCGCCCGAGTATGTACATTTGTTATCTTTTCATTATTCTATAACCTTTAATTGATGACGAGAATGATTTTGTTGATGGTAAAGTTGTTGAAAAGAGAGATGACATGAAGGCGATGATGAAATGATGTTACTAACTTCCGATGAATTAATGCATCCCAGATCACAAAAAAACTCTTTCTCAAAGTTTTTCAACCTTTAACCCCTGAATAACCTAACAACGTCTCAACTGAACTGCTGATTGAAATTATTATTATTAACAATTATTTCAAATTAATTAAAATAATAAAATAATAAGCCAGATGTATACCAACATTAAATTACAATGAGGTCTCAATTGCAGTTGGTATATATATATATATATATATATATATATATATATATGTATATATATATATAATGTTTAACATAATTAACATAAATATATATATATATACATCTATATGTAGGTGATATGTATATATGATATATAATATGTATGCGATAAGAAGTGATATGAATCTATATATATAATATATATATATATATTTATATACATATATATATTATTTATATATATATATTTGTGTGTATGCACGTTCGTATGTTTATTTGTATGTGTGTGATCAAAGACTAATATAAGGTGAAAGAATTATTGAAAGAATAAAAGAACGAATAAATGAAAGAGTTGAAGAATGGAAGGAATCTCGTGATTTATTTCATTTATTGATGTTAACTATGGTAATGATGATGATGGTGGTGGCAATTTAAATTATTGTTATTATTATTAACCATAATTATAATTATTTTTATTATTATTATGTATTTTATTTTTATTATTAATGTTATGTATATGTCAATTACTAATATTCAAATGTTCATATTCATGCTGCTACCATAATGGCTGTTATCGTGGTTCTTGCAATCATAAAAATAGTAAAACAAATAATGTTTTTAATAATAATAATAATATAATAATAATATTATTATTATTATATTATTATAATAATATATTATTATTATTATTATTATTATTATTATTATCATTATTATCTTTATAGCGTTATTAAATTTAATTAGCCAACTCCAACAGTTTTTCATTGCTTTTACGATTTCGTCACTATGATTAATTTCCATTTTAGCTTCTTTTAGTATATGATGATATTATTTGTTATAAAATCATAAAAGTAATCACTAGTATTATAATTGTTGTTGTTATTATTGTTATTGTTGTTGTTGTTTTTTATTATTGTTGTTATTAACGGCTTCAGTAACTCTTTGGAAGTGTCGTCTTTTTAAAAATCCAACCGCGATAAATCAGTTAGACTCTTTCATAAAGCTGAAAATCCTTTGATGCAGTTGATGTTGATAATGATGACGACGGTGATGATGATAATGATGTTTTTATTGTTTTTGTTGATGTTGATGATGATGATGATAGTGAAGAAGTTGATGTTATTGATGATGATGAAGATTGTGTTGCTGTTTTTTGGATTATTGTGATAGTGATGCTGTTGTTGTTGTTGTTAATGTTGATGGTGATAACAACAAGGCTGCTGTTTTTGTTGATTATGGTGATGAGAATGATGATGATGACGATGACGATGATGATGATCCTGATGATGATGACGACGATGATGATGATGACGACGATGATGATGATGATGATGACGATGATGATGATGATGATGATGATGATGACGATGACGATGGTGATGATGATGATGACGATGACGATGATGATGATGATGATGATGACGATGACGATGACGATGACGATGACGATGATGATGATGATGATGATGATGATGATGATGATGACGATGACGATGATGATGATGATGATGATGATAGTGGATAATTAGGATAAAACTTTAATAATGAAGTTGAAAGAGAAACGTACGTTTCAAACATCTGCAAGACAACAAGATTATCTGGAAAGATTATTTTTTGGCAGTGCAATTAAACGGTTTTGTAGTATCTAGTTTACAAATATCATTTTGAGTAATGTATTAATTGAGGCGGCAGGATAGCCTGATGGTTAAGATGCCTGACACTGTTTTTGCTGTGACTGAGTTTGATTGCAGAGTGATCCCGGTCAATCGAATGCGACGTTGATTTCTTTGAGGACATTGTGAGAAAAAATTTGTTTTAATAATAATTGTCAGATCATGTCAGTGCGTTGAAATAATCCGGTCATTAATGATTAGAGAATAAAAGAATGAACGAATGAGTGATTGAATGACCGACCTACCGACCGACTGACTGACCTTACAAAGATCAACAACCAGCCAATCAGCCAGCGACTGGTAGCAAAAACTCAATACTTTGGAGGGCATTAACTTATGGATTCGAATTTTGTTATCAAATCTGTAATCCCGGAATTTTGCTAAAAAATTTTCACTAACCAATCGAAAAATAGTTATTTCTTTTCAATAAGTTTGGGTTCACAATAATCACCGTATGGCACAATCGATAGCTAACAGCTTTCGTCCATGTTGTTCGCTCCCACAGGCTTTGCATGTGCCTAAGCAGTTGTGATGGCCTCCTGTCTTCAATGACTTCGAAACAACGTTCGCCAACACACACGCGACGATCTGGTGGAGAAGTATTGTCGGATTTGTAATATTTATTTACCACAAACCATTGACTTTTGTCTTACATTCAAATTCAAATCGTCAAGCCCCGAGAGAGCCAGCATCTCACAGTCCACAACAGACTCAATAAAAATCAGCCTAATTCCAGTTAACAACTCCAAAAACAACATCATCGACGACACCTCTCTGGGCACTCCTTCCCCGTCATTTAGTTCCAACAAGCATGCAAAAATCGCTTTCTCCTTATGTAGCCCGCACAAATCAATTTGTTAGCTCGTGGTGTCTTTCATTTAGTATTGAGGATTGATAGTTTTATTAGTTAGGATTTGCAATCCGACGATACCTAGTATTCAGTATTTTGTTAAGTATTCTTTCCAACCAAGATTTCTGGTAGTATTGATAATAAAGTCAATAATAAATATCTTAATATTAAAAGCCACTGCCATTACTACAACAACAACTGCTACTATTATTATTATTACTGCTACTGCTAATACAACAACAACTACAACTACTACTGTTGCTACTACTTCTATTACTACTACTACTACTACTACTACTACTACTACTACTACTACTACTACTACTACTACTACTACTAATAATAATAATAATAATAATAATAATAATAATAATAATAATAATAATACTGTGACTACTACTACTACTGCGACTACTACTACTACTACTACGAGTAATAATAATAATAATAACAAATAATATTAACAATAATAATAATAATATATATAATAAGAATAATAATAAACAAAATGACGAGTGAAGAAAATTCGTAAAAAATTTTTCGTTGGTTATTTATCATGGGCCACCTTTGTTGCGTTGTCATCGTTCTCCCGTAACATATGTAAGACATACATAACCATTATAACAATAATAACAATAATAATTATAAAAATAATAATAATAACAATAATAATAATAATAATAAGTTAATTATGAATTATGATCTTTCGGTCATAATTCATAACTTTTTTTCTCAATATTGCAGTTAGATTCACAACTTTTGCTACTATTAATGTTGGTTAGGAAAAAATAAAAACAGTAATAATAATGAAAATAATAATAATTATTTTCATTATTTTTGTCATTATTATTATTATTACAATTAAAATGATCTCCATGTTAGCTCAGACGGTAGAAGTTCCACAGTCAATTCACATGACAAGGTTCGAATACAGCCTATCCGAAACCCCAGGACTACCGTATTGATGGACTACTGACTCTGTATTGGTATTGATGACATAGCCGTTCTACTTGTATAGACGGGTGCAACTGATGAATGATATGCATGTAAACAGCATAGTAGATACATTTTTTTAATGTATAACGATGAAAATGATGTTAATATTGGGTTGATTAATGGTATGTATATGTGGATTCTACATTCTACATTCTAGTTCAAAATTTAAGCAATGGATAACTTTAGTAAAAAAATATAAGTTGGAGTGATTTTATTATTTATCGGTTGAGTTTATCGCTATTTTACTGTTTTGCGTTATACTGGTTACTCATTCAACATCATAAAACAATTTTTTTTATAGTTTTATTTTAAAATACAAACTGTTTTATCATCATTTTGTACACACAGACACACACAACACACACACAACACACACACACAATACACACACAACACACAATAATATAGTAGTTATTGAAAATATCAAACAATTGTTAATTCAATTCTGTTGTAATGGTAAAAGAATTTTAGTCATTGATATCTGTATACATCTATACATACCACGGTATTATATATAAATTATATACATACGTGTTTAATAATATTTAGATTTAAATTCAATTTTATGCGTTTATACGTATAATAAATCATTTTTACAGACACACACACACACACACACACATACACACACAGACACACACACATATTTGTATATATATATATATATATATATTTATATATATATAGTGTATAAAGATTATG